CTAATTTATATAAATAGTTTATATAAACCAACTGGCACTCTTTTTTTTTTTTCTTTTTTGTTCTGATTATAGGTTGAAAACAATGTTAGTAGGGATCCCTCTAGGCTTTACAGACCTACCAAAGGTTGGGAGGAACGGACCAAAAAGATGGGACCCACAGGCTCTGGGCCGCTTCTGCATATCCCACACAGGTAAAAAAGGAGTCAGAGTGGCTGTCCGTTTTATAATAATTTCATAACTATGTGTTTATATTTTATGCAATTTCTGGATGTATGCTGCATTTTACAGCAAAAAGTTGATCAAGTAAATCCTTATACATTTTTTATGGTTAATATTTAATGAGTTAGCATTTTTCTCCAAATTTCCTTTGTATTTATCATTTCCCTTCTTTTTAGGGCCATCCCAACCTGGAGGCAAGGAGTTGAGAAAAGAATATGAAACCATGAAGGTGATACTCCGTTGATGAGAATGTCAACATACTCAGCCGTACCAGAAGAGAGTCACTAACCAAGTTCTTGAAACAGCCCTAACCCCAGTCAGATTGATAATTGTGTTGTATGTGAACCGATAAGTATTGAGTTTCATGCGGCATTGTCGTATTTCCTGTTTATATTAACAGGGTATTTCCTGTGTATGTTGGCCTGTTACTGATGTTAAAATTTTCCGAGTAAGTTGTTGTTACAAACATTATTTCCTTTAAATACTCAGAACATTTCAGAGATACTTTGTTTTCCTCATGGCATAGCAAAATAAATTGGGACAATCACAGGGGAACATTTTTTTTAAGCAAAAATTTTGTAACGTTTATAACTTGGAGGTAAATCAGCTTAAGTAAGAAAAATGTAAAGGTTTTCTTTTTTCTTTTTCTTTTTTTTTGGAAATAAGTTAGCACTTTTCTAAGTTTAACAAATTGGTAGTTTGGTCAGTTACCACATATTTGTGTAATAAACATTTTGTATTTGTTTGAAGCATGCTTTGTTTATATAGAGAATATTTATTTAACAAATATGCCTCCCCTCATATATACCCTGTTATTTGTAATCTCGGTATCTTTTTGGTTTCCTTTAGCTATTCCAAATTTCCCTAAAGGGGAAAAAAGCCTTTCTGGACTTCACACATTTATAAAACCTTTGTGTCTTTCACATCTTCCTGGCTGGTGCAGTTTTCTTTACTGCTTCTGTTCGGCTCGAAATATTTGATCAAAAGATTGAATTTTAAAGTTTTGAAATTTTTGTGCATGAATACACAACTTAGTTTGACTCAGCTTTTCCTATTCTGAAATCTTAGTTCCTAATTTTAATCTGTTCCCATCATATAAGAACGGTACCTTGTCCATGGTAAATATAGGAAACTCATTGCTTTAAACTTTTCAAATCTTTTTTTTTTTAGTTTATTTATTTATTTATTTATTTATTTAGAGAACAACAGAGAGGGTGTGAGTAGGGGAGGGGCAGATAGAGAATCCCAAGTAGGCTCTGTGCCGTACTGTGCACAGAGCTCGAGATGGGGCTCGAAGCCACAAAACCGAGAGATTGTGACCTGAGCTGAAATTAATCAGCCAATCAACCGACTGAGCCACCCAGGCGCTCCTCTTAGAATATCTTTAATTATAATTTGATATATTTAGGTCCGGTGACTCAGAAATTCACTATTAGTAGTGGTCAAAACCCTGTCTTATTTCACAGTTAATAGTCAAAGTAGATGGCTTCCAAATTTTGGAACCTGAGTTCTGATTACACAATTATTGCTGCAAAATGGGAGAAATAACATAAAATATTCTTAATCAGGAATGCCTGTTTTCTTTGTAGTCCTTGTTCTCTAGAACTTTTTTTTTAATGATTGGAGGCACTTTAGAAATAAAATATAGAAGTGGACAATGGATTTTAAAAACAGAATGGAACTACTACAAGATACACAGTAGGAAGGTTTCCTTTGTATTGTTTTCGAACATGTTACTTTTTATTGCACAGGAAGGCAGCTCTCCATTTCCTGCATTGAAGGAAAGCATACCAGGTCGTGTGCTTCTTATAGCTTTTTGTCTGCTTTCTTGGCGGTTTTCTTTGACAAAACCAGTCCTTCTGAGTCTAAAATGAGGGATTTATTATATGGTTCCTTTATATAAAGGATGTAGAATAAGCATAATTAATAATATATCAGTTACAGGCTTATAGAAGGGCAAAATAAACATTTCTTACACTGGTTTAAAAAGGATATGCATAAGGAATTTAGAAAAAAACCTGAAGGGAAAATTGTTAATAAAGCACCCATAATTCTACCGCTCCAGGGTAACTTTTTCCAAAAATATACATACATATCTTAAAATAGCTACATAGAAGGGTGCCCGGGTGGCTCAGTCAGTTGAGTGTCCAAATCTTGATTTGGGCTCAGGTCATAACCTCACACTTTTCTTTTTTTAATAGTTTATTGTCAAGTTGGTTTCCATATAACACCCAGTGCTCATCCCCACAAGTGCCCTCCTCCATGCCCATCACCCCCCTTCTCCTCCCCCCACCCCCATCAGTCCTCAGTTTGTTCTCAGCATTCAAGAGTCTCATGGTTTGCCTCCCTCCCTTTCCCCCACTATTTTCCCCCCTTCTTCTCCCCCATGGTCCTCCATTAAGTTCCTCCTAATCCTCCTATACGTGCAAACATATGGTAGCTGTACTTCTCTGCCTGACTTATTTCGCTCAGCATAACACCCCCAAGTTCCATCCATGTTGCTACACATGGCCAGATTTCATTCTTTCTCATTGCCATGTAGTATTCCATTGTACAGATAAGCCACATCTTCTTGATCCCTTCGTCAATTGATGGACACTAGGCTCTTTCCATGTTTTGGCTATTGTTGAGAGTACTGCAATGAACATTGGGGTATATGTGCCCCTATGCATCAGCACTCCTGTATCCCTTGGGTAAATTCCTAGCAGTGCTATTGGTGCACGACCTCATACTTTATGAGCTCAAGCCCCACATCGGGCTCTGCGCTGGCAGCATGGAGCCTGTTTGGGAATCTCTCCCTCTCTGTCTGCCCTTCTGCTGTGTGCACTTTCTCTCTCTCTCAAAATAAACCTTAAAATAAAATAACTACATAGAGTACATTTTATTTACTAAATGACTTAACATTATGTTACACATACTTTTCTGTGTTTCTGTATATTTTCTAACATTATTTAATGGCTGAACAACATTCCATTATGTAGATGTTGCATCATTCCTATACTTTGAAAACTTGAGGTAATTATACTTCTTACCTAATCATGTAGAGTGGCATTTTACATGGGGGTTAGATTCTCTCATGCATGTGCCAACAACTTGTGTGGTCAAAATCACCCCTGAAAAGCCTTTTCCTTACCTAGGAACATATGATATTATCTCTCAGTCAGTCCACCCTCACTGAATTTGGATGGGATTGCTGGTTCTTGAGTTGAGAATCAGATTAAATATTCGGGTTCCCATCAAGGGCCCAGTTGAGTAGGGTCATCTTTTGGAGCATATATAGAGTGCATTGTTCATTCTACTAAGTTGAACCTGTGTGATTTGACTCCATTTTGAACATCTTCAGACATGTATGTAAGTGTGAGTAAAAGATCTTGGATTTTAATCACAAAATGAAAATTCCTCTCTGCTGGGTATACCTGAAATCCAAGCAATGTGGCCTCCCTGCTTGTAAGGAGGCAGCAAGAACAGCCTTCTGGCCATACCCAGCCGTTTGTTAATGCAGTTTATTAAAGACATACAGAAATAGCGGTGAATGAGTAGCCACTAGTGCCTAAAAATAGGTGCTTTGTATTATTGAACAAGTAAAAGATAACTTCTGCCCAGACAGTATCTTTTTTAAGTAGTAGATTTTCTAAGAAAGTGAACAATCAAAATTATACTCAAACTTCTCTTTTGCTAGTTGACTATAAACATCCTAGGTTCAAGCCTGATCTTTGGGTGGATTTCTCCCCCCAAAAACTGCCTCATGAACTTTTAAAGGAAATAATATATGATGGAAGCAAATTAAGTTCCTCTTTAAAAAAAGATAGAACCATGTTATTTCATTTCCTAACATATGGGTAGTTGGAGAACATTTGTTTGCTATGGCAGAAGGATGCAACATTGCTGCTAGATGATACACTGACTCAAGCACGAAGAGTAAAATCTAAGTTGCAAAAGAGAGGCACCTGGGTGGCTCGGTGGGTTAAGCCTCAGACTTCGGCTCAGCTCATTATCTGGCAGTTAGTGAGTTCAAGCCCCATGTCCAGCTCTCTGCTGACAGCTGAGCCTGCGCCTGCAGCTGATTCCGTGTTTCTCTCTCCCTCCCTCCCTCCCTCCCTCTCTGTCTCTGTGCCCCTCCCCTGCTTGCGCTCTTCCTCTCTTTCTCAAAAATAAACAACAAAAAAAGGCTTGAAAATGAAACACTTATGAATATAGCGTGTGTGTATACTGCATTTGTGTGTGTGTACATATATATAGTTTAAGTGATTCCTGCTTTTCTAAAGGGGACGAGGAAGGTCTCTGAACCTTTGAAGCATCTATAATTATTTAATAAACCTTTGTCTCCACCGTTTGATTTAAAGGTTTAGCTTCCCTACCCATTCATTTTATAAACGTGACCTTCCAAAAAGGTCTGTTGGCAAGTTTATTCAGATCCATCTGTTTTCACATATACCATCCTTTAGGGGCCGTGATTTTCTCGAAACGAACTAGAAGCTTTGGGTCTTGCATTTCTTCCCAAATCTCAAAGAAGTTACAAGTTCTGGAAGGACTGTGGGCTGAATTTTACGAGGCTTAAGAGGGGGTCTCCAAGCCTGTAGGGCTCGGAATAGAAAAGGGTGGGTCGAGAGAGAAATCCGAGGGATTAAGCGCTGCGAAAGGCCGTTGGCGGCGAGGAAGTACAACCACAGACCGGCTCTGGGCCGGGAGCTGGCCCCATCCCCGCGCGCCGGCCCCGGGTCGCCCCTCGAGGTCCCTTCACGCCGCGCGCCAACTGCTTCCGGGTCGCGGCGGACGTCGCTTCCGCAGCAGCATGGCGGCTCCGGAGGACGAGCGGCTGGCGGGGAGCGGCGACGGCGAGCGGCTGGATTTCCTGCGGGACCGGCACGTGCGGTTCTTCCAGCGCTGCCTCCAGGTCTTGCCCGAGCGCTATTCTTCGCTCGAGACCAGCAGGTGACTGGTGGCCGCGGTCCGCGGGGTGGGGACGCCCACCGGCCCCCGCGGAAAGGCACCGCGGAGCCTGCCGGCTGACCGGGCGTCCGCGGGGCCTGCGCCGCCGCCCACCCGGCACTGCCGGCTGCCTCTCCTGTCCGGCGGGCCTGCGGTGGCTCTCGCTCCCCCGAGCTACGGCCGGAGGATCGGCGGAGCCGTAAGGCCAGGGCTTGTGGAATGTCCATTTTCCGCCTTTTTTCACTTCCAGCCATTTTTCCGGTCAACTCTGCGCTTCCTTCTTACTTCCTCCCGAGGCTGTGGATCACTTGGCCTCATTACATCCGAGTGTAAAAGGGAAAAGACAGATCCTTTAGGCTTCGTATTTTAGATAAATAGCCTGCCCCGTGCCACCCTTTCCTGCAAAACGTTATTCACTCTTAATTGAGTATCTGTGTGGTGTTTGAGGTCTGTAGGGGCGGCGCCGAGCCTATAAGGTTTGGGGAGAAATGAACTTTCCAGGAATTGTACATCTAACGATAGGAGAAGGTTGGCGGAAGAGGTGCGGTGTTCCGTAAAGCAGGCTGTGAAAAGTGTATCTGCTGTAGCCTTGTGAGTTGGAGTTGGCTGAGGAGTGTGATTTGGCTGCGGCTGAGAAGCTGTGAATTAGTCATTCAGAGTAAAATCTGGGGACGAGGAGAAAGGAGGCGGTTTTGCTCTGCATTGCCGGGGTTTGAAGCGAGCCTCCCTCCAAATTGCATGGGACGGGATACGAAGAGAGCAGATTGGTTCTGCTGTAATCGCTCCCTATTTTCTGACTTCTGATTCCCTGGTGTAATTTTGAAGTCTGCATGGCCGGGGCAGTTTTGGAAGTTTTACAGATTCCTTCTGCCCTCGTGGTCTACAAATTTATGATGATAGGTACTGGAGTACAGCTGAACAAGACATGCAGTTTCCTGTAAGAGGCACTAAGTAAATACTCGTCGAGTTATGTGAGCTGAGCCCTGAAGGATGAACACATTCTCCCTAAGGAAAGAGTGAAGCGTTACTTATATTCCTTTCTCTGTCCATGCTAGGTGTTGATTGGCTAGCCGAGCACACATCCCTAGACCTAAATTAAGGTTTCCAAAACCCACTCCACTGACTGGAATGATATGGGATGAAACAAGTAATGTTAATAAATCACACATTTTATGGGGACTGATTTTATGTGAATTTGGGCACATTTGGGTGGCTCAGTCCATTAAGCATCTGACTACCGCTCAGGTCAAAATCTCCCAGTTCATGGGTTCAAGCCCCACATCTGGCTCTGTGCTGACAGCTGGGAGCTGGGAGTCTGGAGCCTGCTTCTGATTCTGTGTCTCCCTCGCTCCCTCCCCCCCCATCTCTCTCTCAAAAATAAACTTTAAAAAATTTTTTTTAAATTTTATGTGAATTTGAAGCATTTGGATAAAAAAACTTCTATTGTGATTGTTAAAGTTATAGCTATCATTTTAGATCTGTGGTTGCATTTTCTAAATGTCAGTGTTTGACTGCTCTGTTTAAAATTCCAGCGTGGACAAAACCATATACACTAATGCATGTTGGTAAGCTGTGTAATGGTGCTCATAGAATATAACTGCAAAAACTGAACAACAGATTTAATAACTTTAGAATAATCTTAGCATCTACATCAGGCATCACCTGTTAGGTAATAGTGTATAATGCCATGGTGCATTAGTTAATATGTCTAATGTTTATCACTTGAGTATTTTTTATCATTTCTTATTGTGTTAAATAGCACACTTAATAGGCACATTTAAGATCATCTGCACCTAAAAGTTTTTGTAGTGATTTTTTTTTTTTTTTTTTTTTTTTACAGGTTTTTCAGTTTTTCTCTTTCCTGATTCACAGTCTTTCCTTAGTTTTGCATGAACTCCTTTGGTAGGGGTGTGTGATTGATGGTTGACTTGAAGATGCTCGTGAAGGATCTCTGATCTTTTAAGCAAAGGTGACTGACGGGTCACAAAATTTCTACTGATACCAGCATTTTCAGATAAAACAGTATGTTGACACAATTCTTACTCAGTACTGCTGTTTAATTCTACCAACATTTATTGAGTGCCTGCTATATGTCTGGGTACAGGCATACGGTGTGAAACCAGTGCTCCTGGTGTTCATGTGTTCCCTTCTTCGTACTGATATAGGTATGACACAGGACTCTTAGGAAAGCTGCTAGCAGGCTAGACATTTAGTCACTTATTTTCTGACCTACCACTTTGGCAAAATTACTTCATTTTCCTGTTTCTTTTAGTCTGATAAATAGGACTGAATTTTTCTTTTTCTAATAGCAGTGGCTTTATGAAAATAAATTACCTGTGGCTTTTTCATACAAATATCTGAAAGGTGATAGTTCCTAGTTAACTCAGGTGAATATTAAACCTTGGATTGTGAGCTTTGTGCATTAACAGGTTTCTTTTTTGTAAGTGGCTTAGAGAGTTGTTTGGTTAGGAGTTGCTGTTACCGTTTCTATTTGGGTAACGGAAGTTAGAGTAGGGTAGGTTTTTTGGGGTTTTTTTTAATCAAAGGACTAAATACTGACCATTTTCTGTGTATGTTGTTTTTTATGGATCGAGCTCCTTTCCAAGAAGGGTTTAGTCATTTGGTTTTTATTTTACAAGACCTCACAATCTACCTAGTCTTTCTGTTCACGGGTCCTTCCGTATTCCCCTACGTAGCCTGTGATGTAGCTGACTACCATGTAGCAACTACTCTACCCTCTCATTCCCTCCCTTATCTGAAATACATCGCACCCCAGCAGTGTACCTCTCCAAGTGGGATGGCCATGGCAGGAGGCCCTACATTAGTGACATCATAAAATGCTTATAAAAATACACATACCTGGGCCCCTCCCCAGTTCTGCGTCGGACTCTGTACATTGTGATGGGCATCCCACATGGTGCTCGTGCGCGCTAAAGTTGGAGACAGTTAGCCTGACAAGAGAAACAGATCTGCTAACAGATTCTTACGGCAGTGCCTCCTGGCTCTTATGTGCATATAGATCACCTGGGGATCTGGTTAAAATGCAAGGTGTGGGAGGGGTCTAGGATAAGACAGTCTGACAAGTTCCCAGGTGAACCTGATCTTGCTGATCCCCTCACCGCACTTGAGTTTGTTTGCCCAGTGATTGTGGTATTCATAAGACTTTATGGAAGCCCCTTAGCTCCTCCTGAAGAGAGACACATCTCAGAGATGGCTTCTTGGAAGAAGTAACCATGGAGCTGAATAAGTATTACTATTAAATTTGTATTCAGTTTGGGGAAAGTCCAGGATGGATTATAGGCAAATGGACAATAAAGGCAGACAAGTGAGTGTAAAGCAAAGAAACTTCAATCATTTGTCTGATAGTGGTTCAAAATGGAAGGCAGGTGTGGTAGGAATTAAGCCTGGAAGGTAGGCATTGGCCAGATCACAGGAGGGCTTTGTGTGCCAGGTTAAGAAACCTGAATTTGATGTCACACAAGTGATTTGAAGTCGCCAAGCAGTGAATCTTCCTGATGACATACGCGTTTCAGAGTGACCGTTCAGTTTGAGATGGGTTGTTGTAGCCAGTGGGACAAGACCAGAGCCGCGAAGACCAGTTAGCTGTTGCACTAGTCTGGAATCAAGGTGCCGGGCAGTGGAAGGAGGGCTGGAAGGGAGGGCTGGAGGAAAAAGGAGTTCCAGGACTCTAGGATTGGAACAGCCATCTGGTCTCCAGAGCAAGAGGCAAAAGGAGCAGGTTTAGAGAGGAAGAAGATGATTTCTAGAACAGTACTTTTCCTATAGCTTCTAGTTATTTCCTCCCATAATGTAACTTGCCTAAGCTTAGAAGGACTGTTTTATTTGTTTTTGTCATGATATCCAGTCTGTAGTAGATGTTTAGTAAACATTTCTTATGGAAAAATTATTTTGCATGTAAAATAATTCCAAAGATGAGTAATTATACTTAAAAACATTTACCAGTCGAGCCAGCACTTTGAAAAGAGTACAGATCAAGAGTAAAGCTTAAACTTCTAGCATTCCTGCAGTGTTGCAGCCAGTCATTCCAGAGGATTTATTGGGACCTCTGTGTGCTGTGTATTTTAACTTTATGATTAATTTTCACGTTTTCTCTAAGACTTTCTCATCATTTCTACCATTAGCAGTTTTACCGAGCAACTGTGCTCCTGTGTCTAAATATAGCTGCTTGTGTATAATTTTAGAACTCTTTGCAGTATGATTTAGTCATAGCCCCACCTGAGATCTAGTCAAGAATGCAGTCACTTGTTAAAGACACTTGGAGATGCCAGGAAACAGAGTGTACTAGAAAGGGGCAGAGTAGGTGATCCCAAGTTGGGGAATCTAGTCAGTGCCCATAAATCAGTGTTTCCAGTATATTCCCAAATGGTCGCCTAATCTGCTCTAGCCTAACAATACCCTCCTCATTCTCCTTTAGTGAGTGGCACAGGAAAATCATGTTACTGTGATTTGATTCTTTTTTCCCCACTTCTCAGACTGTTTTTCCTTTTATCTATTTTTTTCCTGTTTAATCCTTGGGGTGTTTTTTTGGTGCTGTTTTTTAAGGCCTGAAAATTTTGTTCTTAAGCCTGAAAAATTTGACATCTTTTGGAGATCTTAGTTGATGCCTCCCATCTGTGAATTGAACCCCTGGTGCCGCAGCTTGATTTAGAGGGGATGAATGTTACCTCTTAATCCATGTAAGATACACTTTTCCTAAGTGTTGTTCAGAAGGGAAGAGGGGACAGGAAGGCACAGCTGACCTTTGCTTTTTCAGCTTATAGTTTCAGAGTTCAATTCTAGGGAAAAGAAGAAAGAGTGAGCACAAATGCTCTGGAAAGTAACAACATTCTAATATCTACACGGGCCTGATTTTAGGCACGTGTCTTGGCACGATTTCCCCCCTCGTCATCTGCCCAAAGTAGGTGCCCAGCAGTCCATACCCCAAGTAGGACTCACTGGGGCACCGTAAGATCCTCCCTTCTTTCTCTCAGAGGCCCACAGCTCCAAATCGGGGGGGGGTTTTTTAATGGCTTATTTAATTTTTTTTCTTATGGCTTTTAATTCTCTCTCTCTCTCTCTCTCTCTCTCTCTCTCTCTCTCTCTCTCAGAGTTGTAGGACTGCTTGAGAACTCACGTGTGGTCAGAAAGGACTATCTTCTTTCAGCCTGTCCTAAGAGGGAGCCCAGACACTGCTCCAAATTGAGCAGTTGGTTCCGCCAGCCGCTGCTGGGTGCCTCTCTTTATAAACAGAAACTTTTCACTGCAGCTGCATTAATCCTATAAACCTTAGTCTCACTGGCTAGGAGGTGAAAATACTGGACTCTCAGAAGCCTTAAAAATTGAGTATGCAAGATCTTAAAAGTGGTTTACTAGCAGCTGAGTTTTGGTATTTGCATCCATCTTCAGAAGCAAGCAAAATGAAAAGCAGATCATTCAGATAACACGAACACGGAACAGTATGACTTTGGAGCGGGGTTACTTGGCCTCAGCACTGATGACGTTTTGTTGAATGGTGCTGTCCTATGCATGGTAGATGGGACATTTACCAGCTAGATGCCAGTGGTACTCTAAAGACAACCAAAAATCTCTCTACAGTGTCGCCTAGGCGCATTATTGCCCCAGTGGGGATCACTGCTCTAGAGCGGTACTCCTGAGGCCTGGCTGCATGTTACACTCACCTGAGAGGTTTCTCACACCTGTGCCCCTGGCCCCAAATTCCAGGTACCCAGACCCCACTTTCCACCCAGAATTTCAATCTCGTCGTAGAGTAAGGGCTAGACCTCTCTGTGTTTTATGGGTGTTGTTTTAGTTTTTTTGTTTTGTTTTTAAGTTTATTTATTTTGAGAGAGACACCGTGAATAGGGGAGGGGCAGAGAGAGAGAGAGAGATAAAGAGAAAAAATCCCAAGCAGGCACCACACTGCCAACACAGAGCCCTATGCAGGGCTTAGACCCACGAAGCCTCAGATCATGACCTGAACTGAAACCTAGAGTCAGACGCCTAACTGAGCCACCCAGGTGCCTCTAGTTATTTGTTTTAAAGCTGATTCTAATGTGCAGGCAGGTTTGAGAAACACCCCTGAGACCACCACCCTGTGACTCAAAGTTCCTAAGTTTTTAATTGGTTATCTAGCAGTGAAATCTCAAGCACATTCCTTTACTTCTTTGGACTTCATGATCTTGAGCTAAAAAATTTAAGAGAGTACTTAACTTAGGAAAGAATACCACCGGGGTGCCTGGGTGGCTAAGCATCCGACTTTGGTTCAGGTCATGATCTCACAGTTGATGGGTTCAGGCCCCATTTTGGGCTCTGTGCTGACAGCTCAGAGCCTGGAGCCTGCTTCAGATTCTGTGTCTCCCTCTCTATCTGACCCTCCCCTGCTCACATTGTGCCTCTCTCTCTCTCTCTCTCTCTCTCTCTCAGAAATAATAAAACATTAAAAAAAAAGAATACCAGCTTATTTTTATAACCTTTTATATGTTTTCTTTTTTCTTTTCTTTTTTAAGCAGGCTTCATGCCCAGTGCAGAGCCCATCTTGGGGCTTGAACTTATGACCCTGAGATCAAGACCTGAGCTAAGATCAAAAGTTGGATGCTTAGGGGCGCCTGGGTGGCTTAGTCGGTTAAGCGTCCGACTTTCGCTTAGGTCATGATCCTGCGGTTCGTGGGTTCGAGCCCCGCGTCGGGCTCTGTGCTGACTGCCAGCTCAGAGCCTGGAGCCTGTTTCAGTCTGTGACTCCCTCTCTCTCTAACCCTACCCTGCTCACGCTGTCTCTCTCTCTCTCTCTCCTAGAAATAAATTTAAAAAAAAAAAAACGTTAAAAAACCTGCTCACGCTGTCTCTCTCTCTCTCTCTCCTAGAAATAAATTAAAAAAAAAAAAAAATAAAAAAAAAAAAAAAAAAAAAAAAAAAAAGTTGGATGCTTAACTGACTGAGTCACACAGGCACCCCTAGATGTTTTCTTATCACATACTTTTTATTAATAGGAAGCTCTTTGATTTATCCAGCCTCAGTAGGTTGTGTTATCAACAACCTCCTGTTGTCCTCCATTTCCACCTGTCTTCTTTTTGTTTTATTCTATGATACCATAATAAACTAAATTATTACATAATTTAAATTAATTTTATCTGGCTGTAATCCTTTACAGCAACACTGAAAACCCCTGGGAGAGCTCTCCAGGAGGGTTAGATGGAGTATTGCAGAGCTTTTATTTGTTAGTTAATTCAATAAATGAGTACATATCATGCATAAGGCAGACCTTATCTCATTGGACATGATTATCATGAAGAACAGTGATTCTCAAACATGGCTGCTGTTAGCTTGAAGCCTTTCTCTTATCTAAAGTATCATTTTGTTTTGAGAAAGGGCAGGGTCCTCTGGGGAGGATGGTTGCCAACCAGAGACCTGGAGATAAGGCCTATAGTATGACAGTGTGATTAGATTCTGAGGTCGTCAACTCATGTCAAATCCGAGAAAACGCCAGTAATGGTAGCCTCTGTTTGTTGAGTGCTTGCGTGTGGGCAGGTAGTGCAATACCTGTGTGAGGTGTTATGTGTGGGCAGGTAGTGAAATACTTGTGTGAGGTATGATGTGTGGGCAGGTAGCGCAATACCTGTGTGAGGTATGATGTGTGGGCAGGTAGTGCAATACCTGTGTGAGGTGTGATGATGATTTGTAGATAAGCAGACTTAGAAAAGGCAGAAAAGGTCCTGCCCAGGTTATAAATTGCTGTAAACCAGCCAACCTAGGATTTGAACCTAGCTCGTTTGACAGTAGAATCTGAACTCTAAACCGTAGCCTCCCATATAAAGGGGTCCCCCCCTTAATTTAATCCTGATCTTGCTCAGATAAATCACCTGCCTAATTCTGGTGGATCCCAATGGTTTGTTAGAATTAAATTGAGATACAGCATATGAGGAAGTTTCTTGCTCACTGTCTAATACATAGTAATAGTCTCTCAATAATGTAACCTTCCCCAAATCTTTTGTTCTTAAGTGTAACAATATCTTATTAGTTTTAGGTTTTGCCCTTAAACTTTGTTTGGAATTAAATTATTCTCTGATTTTTCCTCCTATTATCTAATGTATGCTAGCCTCTTTCAACCAGAGATCAGAGAGAATTACACACTTAAAAAAAAAGTAAACAAAGTGACTATTTTCTCATTTTTCCTTAAGTTGGTAATATTTTTCTAGATGCATGACAAAGCAGTTAATTTATTATACACAGAGCAGATGCCTCAGGGCATTAGGGCTTATTTCTCTTTTGGAATCTTTTGAAAAGGTGGCAGAATGTGTCAAGTGGCTTTGCTGTAAGATTTTGGACCAGATGATTTAAAGTATTAATTTATTAGTAATAGTCATAGGAATTATTAGAATATAGAAATGAAATAATCATGTTCGGGGTGTCTCAGTCAATAGAACATGCAACTCTTGATCTTGGGGTCGTGAGTTCAAGCCCCATATGGGGTGTAGAAATTAAATAAATTTTTTTTTTAAACTTAGGGGAAAAAAAAGAGACAACCATGTTCAGAAAACAGTATAAAATATATCTCAGCCTGAAAAGAATTGTATATAACAAATTTTTTCTTTAAAAAGTAATCATTTAAGTACTAGTTGTCAATGAAAATACGGAGTTTACATTTCTCATTTAGTGTGCAATCTTGGAGAGGAATGTGTTGCTTTACAGGTTTTCATTCCATCAAGGAATCCTCTCTGGGAAAATGGAGTTGAAATGCATATGTATTTTTCAAAGTATCCCTTATTTCCCAAAATCTATTTTAAGTTTTGTCTAATCACATTATTTGTAAACAAATTTGAGTACAGATGGATTTATTTTAACCTTCTATAGTTAAGAGTTAAGCAGCAACTATAAGCATAGTTGATCTTGGCAAATAAGTAGAAATCGGTTTTCTCTATGTTTTCCAGCCTTTTGGAAAGGCTAACTAGGTACAGGGAATTCTTTTTTAAACCTACATTATTAACCTTCAGGTAGCTGATACACTGACTTCAGGGAGTGCATGTATGTTTCAGATGAGTATGACTAGTTATTTGACCCCCAAATGCTTCTTTTTACAAATGAAACAAAGGTTTGGTTGATATTATTAAAAGATAAGAATAAATATGACTTTTTGGCTTTTGCAAAATGAGTACTGTTTGAAATCATTTTAAAATTAGAATTTCTTATTTTTCTGAACAAGAAAGACTTCAGGGTTTAGACAGTTAAGATGGAATTTTACGTTTGTTTGTTTGTTTTTTCTTTTAGGTTGACAATTGCATTTTTTGCGCTCTCCGGGCTGGATATGTTGGACTCCTTAGATGTGGTGAACAAAGATGATATAATAGAGTGGATATACTCCCTGCAGGTCCTTCCCACAGAAGACAGTGAGTGAGTTTTTAGCATTTTATTTTTAGTGTGACTAGCTAGTTGTACTCAGCATAACATGTGTTAGACTAGCAAATCTCAGTATTTATTCATAAACTCTTATCGTGTTTTATTCATCCATGTTTTTGCTTGCAATGCTGCCCTTCCGTTCTCTTCCAGTACAGAACTTGACGGGTCTAATCACGGGGGCACCTGGCTGCTCAGTCAGTGGAGCGAGCGACTCTGGATCTCGGGGTCGTGAGTTCAAGCCCCACGGTGGGGGTAGAGGTTACTTACAAAAATGGAATGAAAAGTAGTGTGGTCATGAATCTCTTGAGAGAAGAGCTTGCGGGTGTCTGGGATTAGAGATTGGCAGTTATGGCTGCTTGCTGTTCTGTGCCTCCGCATTGGTGACTGCCTGTCCATGATTTGTATGTGTGTTTTCGTTTGGTCAGTTTGGTAGCATTTGCTGTTTTTCATTCCCACCCATTTGTTTTTTTTCTTTTCAGTGACCTCTCTCCTGTCACAGAGTTTCATTTCAGTCTCCTTGGTTTTCCCTCTCACGTCTCAGTAGCCTTTTCTTAACAGTCTCTTAGAACTCTTCATGGCACTGCAGTCCCTTTTATGCTAAAATTTATATATTACCTGATCAACTAAATGCACACAAGTCTTATATACCCTCTTGTTTACTCTGTTCATACCTAACGTAATTTAACTTATAAATGTTAGAAATGCGAACCTTGAAAAGAGAAGCAGATAAATTCCCAGAATATGACTCTGTTTTTATCATGGTCATCACTCACTCACTTGGCTCTTAAGAGTCAACATTGATAAATTAACCATGTGTTTCATTGGTTGGAGTAAATATATATGAAGGTCCCACCTAGATAAACCTTAAGGAAATAATAAAGGTTTGTTTAGAAGGCAGTTTGCACTATTAGCAGATGCTCTTAGGCATAGTTTATGTCTTTCTGCTTTATTGTTCTTGAATTTTGTAGCGTTTGTGTTTATGTAATTTCTAAAATCTGTGCCTGTTGACAAATCCTGTTTAAAAATGAGTGAGCATTTTGAACTAGGTCTGCCTTACAGAAATATCCGATCACTTTTCCCCAGCTGCATGAAGCAGCGTATATGCTACACTGGTCAGTAGTGGCACGTTCCAGCATGTGTCCAGCATGCTGGTGAGTAGGATGTATTGAATGTCCTCGAGAGGCTGTGATGAATTACAGGATGTGCTGTGCTGCTCATTGTCTAGGAGCTTGGGGCTGACGTGAGGTTGTAGTCCTAGACGCCTGCAAAATGGAAGTAATTTGTTACTGTTTTTGTTTTTTTACTAGTTTGATTCTAGGATTTCTAAAAAAAACTTTTAAAGTTAAGTATTAGGGACACCTTTGGGGAGGGGGAGGGTTCAGTCTGCTAAGCTTCCAGCTCTTGATTTTGGCTCAGGTCATGATCTCCTGGTTTGTGGCATCGAGCTGCATGTCAGGCTCCATGCTGATAGCACAGAACCTGCTTGGGATTCACTCTCTCCTCTCTCTCTCTCTCTCTCTCTCTCTCTCTCTCTCTCTGTCTCTCTACCTCTCCCCTGCTCGCACTAGATCTCTCTCAAATAAATGAATCTCAAATAAATGAAGTTTAAAAAATGTCTTAATAAAAATAAGTTAAGTATTAGACATAATATTATTATGGATTCTCATATTTTATTGTTTACTGAAAATACCTGTCCTGATTACATTTTATGTTGTAGTTTCTTAAGGGGATGTATCTCACATAGTACACATGTGAAATCATACAGTGAGAGTCACAGAAAAGCTAGTCTGTACATTTTTGCTAAAATATATTTTGCATTATTTTTAGAAAACATTTACTGATACTCATTTCCCTGAAAGGAAATAGCCATTGCTTCTATAGAAAAGTGTGGATTGTAACATTTTAGTGAGAGGACTTGTACGTAGGTTCAGTCACCAGAACATTTATTTACCATGTTTTCCACCTTCTGTCTTATTTCTCCCCACTCCTGAGCAGTCTTTGTGGGCTCCGTGACTGTCTTCTCTTAAAACACGTGTACTGGGGCGCCTGGGTGGCTCAGTCGGTTGAGCTGAGCGTCCGGCCTCGGCTTAGGTCATGATCTCAAACACATGGGTTTGAGCTCCGTGTCGGGCTCTGTGCTGACAGCTAGCTCAGAGCCTGGAGCCTGCTTCAGATTCTGTGTCTCCCTCACTCTCTGACCCTCCCCTGCTCATGCTGTCTCTCTCTCACTGTCTCTCAGAAATAAATAAAACACTAAAAAAATTTTTTTTAAACGTGTACTTTCTCCTAACACTTTTACTGTAAGTTTTTTACATCAACCTGATACCCATTAATACCCATATCTTTTCTTTTTTAAGTGCAGCTTAGAGAGTGGTTAAAATAATTGGTTAATTCTTCTCCCAGTGGAAAAGCAATGGCCACAGAACAATTGACTGCTGCTTTTATGTTCTTTTTTTTAAATTTTTATTTATGTTTTTGATGTTTATTTTTGAGAGGGGTAGAGAGAGAGAGAGAGACAGAATCTGAAGCAAGCTCCAGGCTCTGAGCTGTCAGCACAGAGCCCAAAATGGGGCTTGAACTCATGAACTGTAAGATTATGAACTGAGCTTAAGTCAGACACTTAACCAACTGAACCACCCAGGTGCCTCACTTTTGTGCTCTTAAACGTGGACTTTACATGAATCGTTTTGTTATCCCTTGGGGATGTGACTAAGCAAGTCAGTGAACTGTTTTTTTGTGTGCCTTTAGTTTAATTAAAACCCATATTCTTTCTAAAGACTGCTGTGTTGTGAGGAATTTGCTGTTCCCTCAAGTCATATTATTCGTAGTAATGGCGTTTGCTGCAGGTTCACTAGAATGGCTGACGGGGAAAAGGTGGCGGATAGCCTAGAGCCCCCACATGGTGCCTGTGGGCCTGTGCCTATCCTTTGGGGACTGTTGGGCAGAACTTAGTGTTGAACGTCTGTGTGGTCCCTGGTCCCTAACACGCTTCTGCTCCCTAGTACACACTCACAGGAGTGACAACGTGTTCACCGCAGGATGCACACGAGAGCGTTCACAGCAGCGTTTCTCACAGGGGTCCAGACGTAGGAAGCATGGAGACTACCCGTCATTGGTACAGTGGGTAAGCGGTGCATTAAAGTCTCCACCCAGTGGGTACTGTACAAGTAACGGAAAGGGCGGTCTGTAACTATGTGCACAGATTTTGATGAATGTCGCAGGCAGGTTTCGAGAAAAAGTAGTATCTAGTATCTTACTCTCTTTATACAGAGTACAAAATTAGAAGCAGTCTCAGCTTTTGGGGAGTGAAGGAAGGAAATGCGAAGGGTAAGTAGGAGTGAAGCAGGAGGGGCTTCGAGGGTGCCGTCGAGGACTTCTTCCTGAGCTGAGCACAGGTTATGTGGATGAGTTTACTTGGCACAGTCTGTTGAGTTTGATTATGATAGTGTACTTTTCTTATGTTTCATTTGGTGAAAGTTTAAAAACAATGTTTTGAATTCTGATTGGTGCTCACCATCTCTTTTGAGACCCATCAGAATTCCCTTTCCCATCGTACTATCAACTCCTTGGATTTCAGTGGTTTGCCAATTTTTTGTCATTTGTCATTGCTTAACTGCTGCTTAAAATTTTTTTGCTTGTGTCTGAATTGGAGGGCAGAGAATGCATGTGTCTTACATTTCTTTTCTCCTTCAGTGCCTAAGGCATTGTTGTGCATTAGGAGTTGAAACCCCTCCCTCCTCCACCTTTACTCTTCTTCTTTTCTGTATTTTCACGTTGGGTCCACAGCATTGTGATACTGTGATTTATGAGACAAGTATACTTCGTCCACAGTCCCCCTCACCGCTTCCAAAACCCTTGGCATTTCCCAAGCCTTTGGAGGGATAACGTTGCCTTTTGTTATGTTAATGAGGTTCTGGAAAGTTTGTAGGGATGGGGGCTGCTGGCCCGTGGAGCCAAGCACTGATTAGAGGGTTGGAAATTGCAGTCCCACCCCCAGCCTCCAGGGTGGTTGAAGCAATTGCCAGCAGCCAGTTATTTAATCACTCTTGTCAAAAAATATGTAGCTTACATAAAAACCCAAAAGGACGGGGGTCAGAGAGCTTCCTGGTTGGTGGACACGTGGAGATGCTGGAAAGGTGGCGCTCCGGGCGTGGAAGATCCGAGGCGCCTCCCCGTACCTTGCCCTCCACACCTCTTCCGTTTGGCTGCTCGTGACTTACATCCTTTTACTGTTAACAACATGTTTCTCTTGTGTTCTGTGAGCTGGCAAGTTAATTGTACCCGAGGAGGAGGGCTCATGGAACCAGCCAGCCCGTAGCCAGTGGGTCAGGAGCCCAGCTAACTGGGTTGCAAGCGGTGTCTCAAGTTGGGGGTGGGGTCTGGGCGGTTTGCAGTCCTATGGGACTGAGCCCTCAGCCTGGGGAATCTGATGCTGTGTCACAGTTGATTATATGGAGTTGTATTCGGATTGAACTGAATGAATGGCTGGCGTTCTGAGAATTGCTTGTTGGAAATTGCATCTTAGAACACCTAATTTAAGCATCCTCTGGCTCCTCAAATATTTTCTCATTCATAAGCATTTCCAGACAGAGTAGAATGTGCTTTCCATTACTCATACGTCTATATTTGTCCTGCTTGGTGATACCACATAAATCTTAGGGAATTTAAAAATCTGAAAATGTTAAAAGCCCAGGACCTAAAAGAAAAACTTGGTAAATTTGACTAAATAAATACTTATAAATGCTATGCAGTAAAAGGTAAGGTTGAATAAAAGACAGGCTTGGAAATTGTGGTAACATATATTAACATCCAGATTGTGAAGAATTATTAAAGATTGACAGGAAAATGACACATCAGCATGTAGAAAATGACAAAATTTAAGAATAGGAGGTTCTCAAAAGAAAACAGTAAATAAAGGATTAACCTTACTAGAGAAGTCAGGGAGATGCAGCAGAAACGGTATTGCATTATTTTTTATCTAACACATAGA